AGTCTTTTCTCAAACACCACAATTATGAGCCACAGTCTGCCATAAACAACACTATAAGCAATGCTAATTTGGAGCAGCTTGTGAGCTTACATCCGCACTGCTGACACCACGACATTACGTAGACTAACCTTAATGACTCCAGTTATATGATGCCTCAGTAAATTTGCTGGCATTAGACGTACAATAGTGGCAAAAAGCATTCCCTCATGCAAACTTATATTGATTTGAAAGCATGCTGCTTCGGGAACAAAATAGCTTGACTGTTAACAAACCGATTGTGGCTCTGTATCAGTCACAAAGATTTGATAGTTTAGTGATGCTATATTTTATTCTCTGTTTGCTACCAAATAAAATGCAAGAGTCTTGTTATCTCTGGCCCTAATCTAGCAAGCCCGTGAGACCAGCCGGGAGAATCAGGTGATAAATGCAATCAACATCACTGCTGGATATGTGAGAAATGAAGTGAGAAGACTTTGCCCAGTTTAAAGCATTAGCTAAAACACCATTCTTCTTCCAAATATTTATTTAAACATATTCTCTGGTTGCCTGTGGTAGCATGCTTCCTAAAGAGGATTGAGACTGTGGCACTGGGGGAAGCGGATTTTAACCCTCCCCTTCAACAGGAAAATAGAACACAGGAATACAGAAAGCTGCCTTATAACAAGTATAAGGTTCATTATACTATTGGTTTCTTCTAGTTCTTCTAGGACACTGAGATCCAGCGCTGAGGGCCTTCTGGCGGTTCCCTCATTGCAAGAAGCCAAGTTACAGGGAACCAGGCAGAGGGCCTTCTTGGTAGTGGCGCCCACCCTGTGGAACGCCCTCCCAGCAGATGTCAAAGAGATAAACAACTACCTGACATTCAGAAGACGTCTTAAGCCAGACCTGTTCAGGGAAGTTTTTAATATGTAACGCTGTATTGTTTTTAACATTTGATTGGGAGCTGCCCAGAGTGGCTAGGGAAACTCAGTCAGATGGGCGGGGTATAAATAATAAATTATTATTGTTGTTATTATTATAGTTGAAGAAGCCAGAGATAGAAAGGGGACCTTTTGTTTGCAAAGTAAATGCTCAGCCACTGAGCTAGTTTGTCCCCCAAAACTTAAGTACCATATTGGCCTGAATATAAACTGCACTTTTTCCCAAATTCTGATTGTGAAAAGCTAAAGTGTGGCTTATATTCGTGACCTTACACCACCGGCAAAGTGGCGCAGCTCCCCCAGACCCCCAGGAGGCAGCACAGGGCAATGGTGCCCGCCCTGTCCACGGCTCCCAAGTCTTCCCCAAGCCGCCAAATTTTAAAGGTGTGACTTATTTGCGGGTGCAGGTTATATTCAGGCCAATACGGTAAATATAAATAAACAAAATTGCTCTCATAGGAACATAGGAAGGTACCATATGTAATCTGGGGTCTTCAACTTTTCTAAGCTCAGTGTTGTCTACACAGACGGGCTGTAGCTCTCTGGGGTTCCCAGCAGAAATCTTTCCCTGCCCTTTGTGAATATTCCAGGGGTTGGACCTGGGACCTTCACACACATTTTCTCAGTTGAAATTCCTATTTCCCACCCACCACCATGAAGTGGCTGTTTGCCCATAGGGGAAATCATACAGGTTAAACTTTTGCCAGTGGGGCAAAATGTTAATTTTAGTTCGTATCAGGGGAACCAACTGAGGGTGGGACAAGGGGCCTTGGGCCCCCCCAAAAAAAATCAAGGAGGGGGTCGGGCCCCCTCAATATCCTGCAGTGACGTTTGCACAGTGTGCACAGGTAACACGAGCGCATCACATAGCCACCTCAGTTGCAGGGGCCAGCCAGTGTGCTTGGTTCTTAGGATTTGATGGGAGGAGAGAGAGAGGAGAGAAGGGAGGAAGCAAGGGAGGGGGGGGAGAGTCCATTGCTGGCTGCTTTTTTAATCTGAAAGTGCTATTTGTGGCTAACAGCTCTGGGAGAAATCACAGCAGAGGTGGTGGTATGGGGTTGAAAGAGTTAAACTCCTCCTCAATGTACACCATGGTACCAATCCAAGTGAGGGGCTCACATGCCAATTTTTTTTTGGGGGGGGAGGGAGAGACCAGCAAACTTTTAAAGATGCATGCTCAGTGTAATGTGTTGCATGACCGCTGAAGTTACTGTCCCAGTCCAGAAGTAGGTCTGTTGCAGTGAATCTGATCATTGTTTTCCTGTCATGTAATGGTGGAGCAGAGCAGGTATACACCTTGCAAAGTAAAGTTAACCCAGTGTGGCTTGGACCCTGTGCACTGTCATAATGGTTAATCCAATATGTCTTAAAACCTCAAGATATATATGCATTGTAATGTTTTGCCTCCCACTTACAATTCACACATTTATGAGCCACTCACACTGCACGGTTTTTTCCTACGACATCAGATCAACAAATGTGTAGGTGCTTAAGTTGATTGTACGCATACCATCGTGGAAAGGCATATTTTCCCCCTCACAGGGAGAAATAGGGAAGGGCATCTATTATAAACAGCCAGGGGGAGGATGCAGCGCAGTTGTTTTCTGAGTGGAAGGCAGTAAAAAGCAAACAATTTGCATACCATCGTAAAGAGAGATTATTGCCTGTCTGAGATACACCTGTAAGCAGAATTAACAAAGTCAATCAAAGCCACAAGAACAACAAGCTAGGCGCTGAATATCTCACTAATGAGTCCTTGCCGAGCAAAGCGCACATAAAGCAATCGGTACAAGAGGGATTCTGAGCAGCTGAACAAACAGGAAAATTAAAAACAAGAACAAAATCAGGAAACTGTACAGAACTGAACAACAAGCAGGGGTGCCAGATTGGTAGCCCAGAGACAATTTTTCCCTATAAGGACACCTATGAGGTTCAAAGCTGCTAACATAGCTTGTGAGGTGCCGGACCTGAGGCAATAAATACTTAGAGGCCAAATGATAGTAGGAGGGGAAGGGGCAGCACCTGAGGAAGAAGTGAGGTGGTGACTGAGCCATGGGGCAGCTCTGTTAGCACCACACAGGGATGGCAGATGCTGACTGGCCAGCTGTGCTCTGCAAGCCCCACTTTCACAGCTGCACCCAAGGCTGGTGGCAACTATATCCCTGTACGACAGTGACAGAGCCACACCCCTTCCTTACCTGCCACCTCACATCTCACTCAGGGAAGGAGGGTGTGGTGGATCCTCCTTCTCAGCTGCTCCACAGTGTTCGTGGGTTGAGTACTTCCTTAGGTCCCATGCCTCACAAACCACATCAGCATTTTTCAAAAGCTGTGGCAGAAATGGGCAAACCTGTCACTCTCATCTTTTCTTTGTTTCTCTCCCCCCCCCAACCTCAAATTCAGTTCTCCATGTTTCCACACCAGTTGGCATTGGGGGTGGGGGAAAGCCCTCATGAAATTTTGTCAGCATTTTACTGCATATTTCTCTTAATGTGCACATTGTAACGTGCGACTTTTCCTAATATTCACATTTTTTGCAAAGCAACTTTCCCTGAAATAAAGTGTTTTTGTATGCTAGTGCCACAAATATACAGAGTTCTGTTGACACTTTAGCATGTGCAACTTACTTGACTGGAGGACTGCATTGCAAAATTCAGAAAAGTGCAAATTTTGAAGGATGGCTGTGCTTCAGTTTGTGTATTGATTCTAAAAGTACAAATTCAGTAAATTTGCCTTTAAATGAGAACTGAATGAATTTATCCACCATCTGTCTTATACAAAGCCATATCATTGCTCTAGCTAGCTAGCTCAACATTGCCAATACGGACTGGCAGTGGTTTCAGGGTTTCAGGAAGTGTGTCTCTCCCAGCCGTATCTGGAGATGCTGAGGTGTGAAGCCAGGATGTTCTGCATGCAAAGCAGATGCTCTGTCACTAAAATATAGCCCTACACAAATGCATTTACCTTATGCTCTGTGAAGACCTGCTGATGAAACATGATCTGTAGCAAAATCCAGCTTTTATGGGAAGTCATCCAGAGTGGCTGTGGCATGATGATGATGATGATGATGATGCTCAACAAAGGACTCATACAAGCATTGTTCTGACTTTTTTTCCAAATTATTTTATTAAACAATCATGTTTTACATGTCATCAGATCTAAACCCTGAAGTGCAAAAACATGTTTCTGAGGTATTAAGACTGGAGGAAACCATGCACAACGTTGTTATGAAAGACCCAACTCTATAGCAGGTTGGATATCTTATGAACTTTATAGGCCATTTTAGAGGTCCAAAGTGAACTGATATGACAGGTTGTTGTTGTTTATTAACTGTATTTAGTCATGATATTCAAATAGCCCTGATAATTAACCACTTGTGTTAAGTTCACACAGAAAAAGACAGACAGAATTAACACAGGAAACTTGACAATACCCAAAAGGTACAATTCGCAGCCATTCGACTTGCTCAGACTGCTAGCTTTTGAAAGATAAAATTAGCATCCAAACTACACCCCACTATACATTCTGCCATTATGTAGCCTCATTTATGATCAGTACCCCTTACATATTTTGGTGAGCTGCACAGAAATCTCTAAGGTGCTACTCCTAAATACCTGGTTATAGAAACAAGGTCACTTGGGTTCCACTCATCCGAAGTTTACTAGATGAGCTAGAAGTGTGAGGAGGCAATGTATGTTGAGAAGATGCATAACCTGTTCTTCTTTTAAAAGGCTTCCTTTCCTAAGCAGTAGTTATCTCAAGGACAATTATATAATGTTGCTGAGAGGAATTGAACAGAGAAAGAAATCCTTCAAATGGTTGACCTGAGGCAGAATCCACTTCATACAGTCAAAGGTAACAAGTCGCCCACGGAACTAATGGTCACATGTGTTCGGCAGTTGCAGCTAGACATGTTAGTTCACAACCCAGAGATTCTCCTGTAGCTTGCTTTCCAGGCCTGGTGTCAGGACCTGACACCTCACACAGCTGTTGGCAAGGCCTACTGGTACTGGCACCTGCCCTGGGCCCTACCTTAAATTTCCCAAACCGCCCACAGCAATGCTGCATCAGGTTCTCTGGGGCATTGTGGAAAATGTAAAATGGCGGCTCATAGACACCTACCACAGCTGGAAGGGCACCAATATAGGAAGTGGCCCACAAGTTGCCTATTGTCAAGAGACCACTCATACCTGGATCTGGCCCTGCTGACAGCTGCCTCTAACTCAAGAGATGAGACAAATGAGCTTTGTCTTTATCTCTGGTTCCCTTCTCACCTGACGTGCATCATATCCTGAGTTCTGATTTCTGCAGCAGGTGTAGAAGGAAACAGATGATCTAACTGGGGAGCTAGCAGAAGCCCAATTGCCACCTGAACAACTTTTTTCAGTGGTAATTTTAAGGATGCAGTAGGGTGCCACTTAATGAAGACACAAATAGCCCTAGACCAGCCTGGGTTCTCTAGATGCTTTATGCCAGCATGGTCAATGGTCAGGGCAGGGGTGATGGGAGTTGTAAGAGGAAAATAGAATGTGTGTGTGTGTCCCCCATTGCGGAAGGCTACCCTAAACTGTCACCACTATCATAAATATACTAGTCCTTCTGTGAAAGACCATTTGAATGTCTGCATTCACTGTGGAGTCCTGGGATCTTCAAGAAAGAGGCCATACATTAATGAGTCATTCAGGCTAGCTAAATAAGGTCATTTTCCCAAGGCAATAAACAGACTTCAAAGTTCACAGTTTTCTAGACTCTATGGATTTGTTCCACTTTTCCTAAGGAACAAATCCTCTACAGACCGTAAAAAATTATCTTGTATACGGAGAAATTGTGCAGTAAAGATCATGCAGAGACGGCAATCCAAAATGTACTTTTTCCTAAGTACAGTTAGGATTGCAGCCTCTTGTGTTTTCCATGCATACAAAATGTAAAATTACTTTTATATAATCATAGTTAGGATCAGAATGGAACTGTCCCCGAAGTCTCAAAAACTTTTGAAGACACTGGGTATTATTTGCTTTCTTTTCCTTTAGCGGTGGTAAGTTCCGGACAATCCTTCCTGTATATTCCATTCCTAAAAGAGGTTACTGAAGTCCTAGATAGAAGGTACTCTTCATCCCAGACAGAGAATTAGAATTAAGCAAAAAAAACCAAACTATTTACTGAATCTAGATAAGGTCCATTAAGGATTGAATAACTGGGTACCTTCCAGTCTGAAGCATACTTTTAATTATTATTATCCTCATCATCATTTTTAAAGGCAGGTAGTTGTTTATTTCCTTAGGGTTCCTATGCTTGATTTTTAAAATTATTTTAAGAGTTAGAAACACCTTTTGTAAAGATGTTTACATCTTTTGTGGACCAGAATTGAATTCTGATCCAGTATTCACACGAGGACTGAATTAATTAACAATGAAAAATCAAAAACAAGATTTTGAAACAAGAATTTGAGTTTGCATAGAAATGCAATGGTTATTCTGCGATTTAGATTTCCATGTGAAAAATATGCAGGGGACAGAAATATTTATTGAGCAATGCTTTCATTGCAAGTGTATTTTCAGCACAGTGTCATTGTTTCTCTAAATCACTGCTGCTGCTTCAGTATCATTCTTTTCCTCTTGTTACTGCTACTTTCTCCCTCTTGGATTAGGTGATTCCAACAATCAGTTGTCATGTGGTGAACATGATGATGCTATGACTCTATAGAGTCCAATCAGATCTGGCTTGTTGCTGATGTCACTGAGGGCCAACAGTATCGATTCAGAATGAGGGCAATGCATCCTGGATAATTTGCAAAGGTGATGGTAGCCACTAATGAACATGATGACATCATGATGGGATGTAGCCACCATGAGATGGAGTTGGCTATGAGATGACATCATTAAAGGTAAACAAATTCAATGCAAAGAGAGAGCAACAGAGTGTAATGGAAATAAATAGATGAACGTTTTCAAAGCAATTGAAAACCCCAACTCCAGGGAACAAAACACCAAATCAGTTGGGTGCTTTTCAACACTGCCAAAAACATCCCACAAAACAATTAGCAGTTTCAATTCAGTCGTAAATTTGCGATATAAAACATTTTTGCATAGGCAAAATATAATTAAACACAAGTCAACCATGTGCCCATTGTGGCCATTTCTTTGTACCCTGAAACAGAGCAGAATTCACCCCACTGCAGCACTTGATCGTGTTTTCAAAGCAATTTAACTACTTACTATTTTAAATGGTTTGTAACTCCTTTTTGTAGCCCAGTCGGTAATGAAAACTATATTTCAAGTGCCAGATTTTGTACAGAAAAGTTTGGCATAAAACGTATAATGTTGTAGAAAAACTGAAGAGAGAAAAAATAAAGGTTGTCCTTTTCAAAGGAGCTCATTAACTATGCATGTTTCATAGCGCTCATGTTTGTATAATTTGAATGCATTTGGGAAAGGTTTCTGCCTTGAGCAATTTTTAAACTTTACGATCCCACTTGGAGGTTTAAAAACGTTTGGGTTATCAATAATCCCATTGGCAAAATGTCAAATAGCTTTGTCACACGCATACACGAATGGAAAAAAGAACAATCATTACCTTTACTGCTTATTATCTATACAATAGCGTTTATAAGGCTATAAGTAAGAATCGCTGGAACTTGAAAGCAGCAGAATGCCGCCTTGGTGACGCTTAAAAGGGAACACATTTCATGGCAATCCCACAGAGAAAATCCAAATGATTTGTTCCTTCTAGTTGAAAACTGGGTTTCGTACACCATTCAAAACTAGGCTACTGCTGGACCACTTTCTGTGGAGGAGGGTGAGGGAAAATATGAAAAAAAATGTGCTCATAATTCCTAAAATTACTACTCCTGAAATCAAAGCACTGGTGACTGAATTCAGCTGGAAAGCAGATCCATTTGGACTACCTACAAAGGAGTAAGAAATGAAAAGGGAGGTGTTAGGGAATCACTTTACAGGCACTGAAATTGATCCAACCAGAGATACTTCAATTCCCATTTATTCACACTTAAGTCCCATTGATTCCAGGGTGAGAGATAAGTGTGAGTCCACATATCCGCTCAAAAGTAAGCTCCACTGTTTCAGTGGGGCTTACACCTAGGAAAGTGTGAATGGGGCTGCAGCTTGCATACACACTATAACTTTAAAGCACATTCAAAACACATTCCTCCCTCAAAGAATTCTGGACACTGTAGTTTCTTAAGGGTTGCTGGGAATTTAAGTATGAAGGGGTAAACTACATTGCCCAGAATTATTTGAGTGAAATAACATTGTTTGAATGTGCTTTATGGTATAGTGTATACACAGACGTGTTGTTGTTGTAATCAGCAGCAATTAAAATGCATAATTTTGGACAGATTATTAAACACCTATCTAAGCGCTGTAGTATAACCACATTCTCAAGTAATTCTTTGTCTCAAAACCTGCTATGGAAGACAAGCAGTGATATATATGGACCTTTATCTCATTGCAGTAGTGTAAGGAGAATTACAGCTAGTTTTTTAAATGTCGAACCTTTTTTTTTAAGGGTAGAATTTGTTAAGCTTTTAGAAACTGGTCCTAAGAAATGAACAATTACCATTCAGTTCTGTCTTTAAATAATAACAATACCACAACATATCAGAAAGTAGTCTAATTAAATTAGTATTTACGGGACCGCCTCTCCTGGGATGCCCCACAGAGGACCTTAAGGTCCATGAATAACCATAGTTTACAGGTCCCAGGCCCTAAGGAAGTCAGACTATCCTCCACCAGGGCCAGGGCCTTTTCAGTGATGGCTCCGACCTGGTGGAATGCTCTGTCCCATGAGATTAGGGCCCTACAGGATTTAACCTCCTTTTGCCGGGCCTGTAAGAGAGCTACTCTGCCTGGCCTTTAATTTGAATTCAGCCTGTTCTTTTATTTCCCTTCTCTTCCCTCCCCCTCCCCTTTTATGAAGATTACCCACTCTGGGACCCCACAGCTAATTCTCCCCTGGCCTCCTTGCTGGCCCAAGTAGGACTAATTCGGACAGCTAGCCCTGGTGACTATCTAATGTTTATTGGATGGATTTCCCCCAAATTGATTTTTTAACTTTGAATTTTATTGTCATTCATGCTTTTATACTGTATTTTATGCTGCTTCTATGTTGTACAGTGGTACCTCGGGTTAAGTACTTAATTCGTTCCGGAGGTCCATTCTTAACCTGAAACTGTTCTTAACCCGAAGCATCACTTTAGCTAATGGGGCCTCCTGCTGATGCCATGCCGCCGGAGCATGATTTCTGTTCTCATCCTGAAGCAAAGTTCTTAACCTGAGGTACTATTTCTGGGTTAGCGGAGTCTGTAACCTGAAGCATATGTAACCTGAAGCGTATGTAACCCGAGGTACCACTGTATTACAAGTAAGTATTTTAAATTTGTTATTAGCTGCCCTGAGCCCGGTTTTCTGAACCAGGAAGGGTGGGGAATAAATAAATTATTATTATTATTATTATTATTATTATTATTATTATTAGTGTAACTTTGACCAAACTGCGGGAGGCAGTGAAAGACAGGAGGGCCTGGCGTGCTCTGGTCCATGGGGTCACGAAGAGTCGGACATGACTAAATGACTAAACAACAACAACAACATTAGTGTAACATTCAAATGCTCAATAATAATAATAATAATAATAATAATAATAATAATGGTTGTTTGCTCATATTGGTACAACTTACCAAGCTGTGAATTATTAGTTGGGGTCTCATCTGTACAAAAATACAAAAATAGATGCGTTGTAAATTTAAAAATATTATTTGAACAGCATATTTCTGCTCATGCATAATCTAAGATACTTTAAACAACTTTTATGAGATTATTAGTTTGTCACCATCAATTTGTTTGTTCAGATTAATCTTAGATCATTTGTTATAATACAAGTGCCCCTGTGTACCTGGAAGTAAGTCCCATTGAATTTACTAGGACTTATCATCAGTGCTGTGCTGCATACTTTAAGGAGTGCTAAGAGATTATAAACAGTTGTTCACATTTGGGGTGGAGGGAACATGTGTTCCAAACATATAAACAGAATTTGACAGTTATAACTCAAACAAACTTTGCTTGCATCAGACAGCCCCTTGCACTGAGTGCCTGCGATGTCTGAGCCACTCATGCACAGTTGTTGTTTTTTAAGGGGCTAATTATATGTAAATTTATATTGCAAAATTATTGATATCATACCCGTAATATATGTAAGAAGAAGAAGAAGAAGAGTTTGGATTTGATATCCCGCCTTTCACTCCCCTTCAGGAGTCTCAAAGCGGCTAACATTCTCCTTTCCCTTCCTCCCCCACAACAAACACTCTGTGAGGTGAGTGGGGCTGAGAGACTTCAAAGAAGTGTGACTAGCCCAAGGTCACCCAGCAGCTGCATGTGGAGGAGCGGAGACGCGAACCCGGTTACCCAGATTACGTGACTACCGCTCTTAACCACTACACCACACTGGCTCATGCTGTACTCTATTTCTGCAGCATAATTTCATAAGGGCATGAATACTTGGGCTGTACACCAGATTTGGCTGAGGCCCAAGCCAAATTGAGCCCACATGAAGGGATCCAGGGCAAGATCAGTCAAGTGGGGATGAAATAGCCACAGGTTGGGTTGGATAGCTCTGAGGAATCTGGGGCTGTCAGGGATCGGGACATCAGGCAGAAAGGAAGTGCAGGCATCGGGCAGGAAAACCCACAAGAAAGGCAGAAGTCTATGTGACTGCTGGCTGCATATTCCCAGGTGAAGGTAGAAGCCCAATACCAACTGATTCTGCTTCCTGCTTAACACCCCACCCCACAGGATTGATGCTGAGCAGAGACAATGATGTTGTGGGGTGCAGAAAACCCCTTCAGGAAAGCTCCTTGTGAAGTAGCACCATATAGGATCGATGCCTCCATGCAAACAGCTGTTGAGCAGAGGCATCAATCCAGCATGGCACAGGGTGCTCACAAATATGCCTTCCCCATAGAGAAGCCACTTAGGAAGGAGCGTCCTGCAAAACAGACCCTCTTGGTCGGTTTAATTAGTTGGGTTTTTAAAAACTAATTAAACTAATTTGGATCCAGGATAGGGCAGGTGGATTCCAAGTTGATCCAGAGCAAGCTGACCTTATTGGGGGCGGCTCTGAATCAGTGGCACTGAATGGCTTGGACAGCCCTAATGAATACCCACATATTTTTATGCAGTTATGTGCATTGTTGCAAGCTTCTGCATACATGCTAGTTACTTCAAGTGTGCAATATTACATGTATAATGATGCATATAAATAAACAAGGATTCTTTGCATTTTGAGCAGAACTAAGAAAACTGTCAAGATTAAGTAGCAAGACCAAAATTATGAGTAGGACTTAATTAGATGTCACTCACGGAAAATTATCCTTAAACAGGAAAATGGTTGTGTTTTTGAAATCATGCAATGATATGATCACTCCTACCAGTTCTAGTAATGATGGGGCCAGCAGAGATTACAGCACTTCCAGAAGTACTCTGAGGGCTCCAAGTGGTTCTCTTTACTGCATCTCTTTTTTTCCTGTTACTGCAGATCTGGAGGGGCAATGAAAACAATCATGATTTCAGTGGACAGAGAAGTACATTCCTCCTGTATCGAACATTTTAAAAACAAGCTCTTTTTGGTTGTACGGAATCTGTTCCAGAAGTCGTTTCGACTTCCAAAATGTTAGGAAACCAAAGCACGGCTCCTGATTGGCTGCAGGAAGCTCCTGCAGCCAATCGGAAGCCGCAGAAGCCCCGTTGGACGTTCAAGTTCCAAAGAATGTTTGCAAATCAGAACACTCACTTCCGGGTTTGTGGCGTTTGGGAGCCAAAACGTTCGAGTTGCAAGGTATTCGGGATCCAAGGTACAACTGTATTGGAAAAGAAACTATGTACTTACTAACTTTGTTGCGTGCAATCTTTTGTTACAACTCTTGAAAGAGAGTGCTGTCTTGTCCATGGCTCTTTGTTTCCTTATATATTCAGGACTGGTTTTGAGAACATGGATCAGGACAGTGGCCCATCTAATGGGTGTCCTGCTCTCACAGTGGCTTACAGGAAGCCCAGAAGCAGAACCTAAACACAATAGCACTCACCCTACCTGTGGTTTCCAGCATCTGGTATGCAGAAAGTTACCTTCTCCAACAGTGGAAATATAATATCTAGAATACTATGGCTTGGCCCCAGCAGTGCCCTTCTGCAAACACAGGTGCTTTGAACGCGTTCTCCCTGAAGACTCCTGTGCCAGCTTCAATGCTTTTCTGTTCCCCAAACCACAGGAGGTTTTCAGAGGGTGTCAGAATGGCACAGGGGACAAATGGGAATGAATCAAGCAGTTCCACTAACTGATCTCTGGATAAACTCAGTGTGTTGTAATAGTTAGAGTGTCAGACTAAGATCTGGGAGGCCAGGATTTGAATCCCCACTCAGCCATGAAGCTCACTGGGTGACCTTGAGCCTCTTAAATGTGGAGGGGGGAAGTCTGTTTTGGGGGGGGAGGTAGGAAATAAATACAATGAAATAAGTAAAATAAATGGGTATGACATTTGGTGTGATTCATCAGGTTCTTGTATGTAATTTCTGCATCCCCCTCATCAGTAGATCTTGTTCTAGATAAAAGCTCTGCTCATTACAAGCTTGGTGGGAAAGTGAACCTTTACTATGATTCCCTCTACATATTCCCTGCATTATAATTTCAGCTGTTACATGATTGCTTGACAATGTGAACCTGATCATTCATAACAAATCTAACCTTTCTGCCATACATTGGCAGTGGGGGGATTGCCATAGCATGGTAAGTTAACTACTGCTTGAGCTGATTATATCCCAGCCTCCATATTTAAAACACATCTCTAAGAGACAATTGCTTTAATATGTTACGGATGACAGTCAATGGCTCGTTTTGTTTTAATCACTTGTCTTTACACTGTGCAAAACATTCCAAGTTTTGTTCCAATTGCAGCATTACCAAAAGACTCCAAAACCTACAGGAGCAAGAAAGGGGCAATCATCAGCTCTGCACAGCTTTGTCACACAATGGAGAAAAACTGTGGACATTTTCTGGTTCTTGTGCTTCACGAAGCGGAACACCTCGAAAGAAAACCGGCCCATTTGACTCCTGCCATTTTCAATGATAGTTGTCTGAGGGTCCTTGTCGCAGCTGGAGGAAAAGATTGAAACAGGAGTGATGTTTTCTGGTTCCCAGGAGGTTAGAGTCTCAAAGAAAAACACTAAAGCATCCTGACTACTACTAGATGGTGGGGAAATGGTGTTAGAAACCTTTGGTTTCATGGGTCTAAGGGCTCCAGAACAGGCCTGGTTCTGGCCAGTGCTTGCATAGATCACCTGGAACCCGTGTACAACTCCTTGAGCTTCGTGATGGAAGAAAAATATTAATGAACTAAACATAAATTAAACACATTGGCTCAACTTTTGAATACCGTATTTTTAAAATTATATTTGCAGCCCATTTCTTGATTGTAATGTACAGTTGACACATGCTTTATCCTTGTCATATTAGTCCATTTGCTTTTGTACTACACCTCATACTTAGCTCAAAAGAAGATCTGTTCAATTACTCATCCTCATTAGCTCTTGCTAACCTGTTTACATGCAAAGCATGGCGTAGAAGTTAGACTGCCAGGCTGCATTCCCATGGCAGTTTATTCTATTTTCATGTCTTGCCCCTAACTGTTATGTTCTGTATTATATTTGAGCTTTCACACAACGTAAAAGCCACTTCTGGAACATTAGTGGAGTATAGTGTAAGCTTAGCGCGCATTTCCTTGTTATTTGCTTCCAGGAAAAAACTGTTTGCAAATACAGTGGTACCTCCATTTGTGGACGGGATCCATTCTGGAGGTCTGATCAGATCCCCAGGTTTCCACAACCTGAGGACTGCTTCTGCTCATGTGCGCATGGCGAAACCTGATAAAATACTTCTGGGTTTGCCACATGCACATCCCGAAGTTTATGTAACCAGAGGGTTATATAAATGGAGGTATTACTGTAGTGTGGAAATGAGGGCCAAACTTGTGCTATATTCCTCCATAGTTCCACAGAATTGGCTGGAACAGCCCAACATATGAATGTGAATTAAATATCATTCCCTGCCAGGTGGATCGCCATTATGGTAAATGCTTTTTTAAACTATCACATCATATATACGTGATATATATATCACTGATGACATGTGAGGCACCCTACCGTAGCTTGGTCAACAATATCACCCAAATGATCACCAAACTACTCCAGGGTGCCCTGCCAGGGTAGTTTGATCATTTGTGTAGGCTCCTGTAAACAAACTTAGGGCTATATATTTAGTGTGCATATATTGAAACAAGCATGTAGGGTAGAATAGGCTCAGTTGATACCTGCTGATGATAGTCATTATTTACATGAATATTTATGCACGTATTTCTTAGGTTTCAGTTCTTCTTATAGGGTTTCTTGTGAGCCAATATTTATTTCACTACTATAGTAACATTATACATGTTTTATATATAAAAACAAACTTTGAAAATAATTAATATATTTTATATTAATCTGTTTTAACAGTGTAGTGTGGCAGAGAAACACTATATTTGGAAGAAGAAGAAAATCTACCTAAAGAAGAGATCATATCGCAGATCATCATTTGGATTTCCAGATGGAGTAGTATAGCAGTAGTCCATCAAAACATTCCATCTGTGCAATGAAACATAATTAACCGCTAAGCATTTCTTGAGATTCAGCATATATATATATATATATATACATCCATTGAAAGTGCTGGTTGATAATGTGCCACCATCTTCCATTATGATTCAAAAGATGAGCAATACCCTGGTGCCTTAACTGCAACAAATCACTGAACAATGAGTACAATATAGCTAATGTGAAGCTATAGGCTCACCTAGGAATTGGTGCAGCTATTATAGTCAAGAAGTTATGAAGTGGTACTGATTTGCTATCATTTCATTGGCTACTTCAGACTTCATGAGATCATTTAGCTAGAAACCGCATTTGCCTCTTTTATAATTTGAGGCTGCTACATCTTGTGCTCAAGGAAAGAGAAAAGCATTTTTCACTGAGTGTAACTACCACTGACATTCTGCAACTTAGCTGGAACATTCAGCAAGCCCTACCTGCAGGGAACGAGGCACAGGGCCTTCTTGGTAGTGGCATCTGCCCTGTGGAATGCCCTCCCATCAGATGTCAAAGAAAGAAACAACTATCTGACTTTTAGAAGACGTCTGAAGGCAACCCTGTTTAGGGAAGTTTTTAATGTTTGATGTTTTATCGTGTTTTTAATATTCTGTTGAGAGCTGCCCAGAGTGGCTGGGGAAACCCAGCCAGATGGACAGTGTATAAATAAATTGTTGTTGTTGTTGTTGTTACTCTCTAGGCATTATATTTGGAGAAATGGTTTGCAGAATGTATATATTTGTTAAAACCGCAAGCAAAATTGTATTTTTAGGAGAAATGTGCATCTAAATGTTGGTGGATTTTCATGGTGATTTTTTTAAAAAAAACAACAAATTTCTGTGTAAATGAGGAGAGATGGATTTAAGATTGGAAAAATGAGAAAATGAGAGGAACCAAAATGGACAGATAAATCCATCTGTATCTGAAACCCTGGGGTGCTGCTACCAGATAGAATAGACAACACCAAGAGAGATGGTCTAGCCTACTGTAAGACAGCTCCATATATCCATGCCTCCTTGTATCCCAGGGAGCAGAAGCAGCTTGCAAGCTAGGGCAGAGCTGCTAGGCTAGCTTCCCAGAAGCAGCTTGCTGTTGCTTGTTTTGTGGGAGAGGAGGAGGAGAGTGAGGTGGCAAGGAGGCTTGCTCATTACAGGCATACTGCCAGGAGTGCCAGATAGGCTCCACCAGTGCTTTTGCACTGCAGCACCCTCTCCACTGCTTTACTTCTCCTAAGGTAAAGGTGTAAGGGGGCGGGTAGCACTGTGGTCTAAACCACTGAGCCTCTTGGGCTTGCTGATCGGAAGGTCGGTGGTTTGAATCCCCGCGACAGGGTGAGCTCCCATTGTTCTGTCCCAGCTTCTGGCAACCTAGCAGTTCAAACGCACACCAGTGGAAGTAAATAAATAGGTACCACTGCGGCCAGAAGATAAATGGTGTTTCCATGCGCTCTGGCTTCCATCACGGCCTTCCGTGCGCCAAAAGCAGTTTAGTCATGCTGGCCACATGACCTAGAAACTGTCTGTGGACAAACGCCAGCTCCCTCAGCCTGAAAAGTGAGATGAGCTTAGTTGCCTTTGACTGGACTTAACCATCCAGGGGTCCTTTACCTTTTTTTTTTACCTTTTACCTCTCCTAAGCAACAGTGACTCACCTGCCAGGAAGCTGATGTATTGGCTTCACCCCACATGAAGAGTCACTTCTGCCAAGGAGCTTGTGTTTCTAGGAGCACAGATTTTGTTGTGGGGGGGTGGGAGCGGGAGAGACATATCATTTACCATACCTGCCATCGAGGTTTGTTGCTCTAACAGCTGCAAAAACTTTTGTTTTCAACGGTAACCCTGTACTGGGGATAATCAGCTGCTCTCTGTAGGTGGAGTCCTGGAAAAGCAAACAGTTCTTATTACACACCAACAGTATGGTCCTATATAACAGAAGTGATTGCAGTCAGCTGGTGAGGCTACCAAACTCAAGATTTAGTCTCAGGTATGTGTGTAGAACTGGAACGCAGGTGGCACTGTGGGTTAAACCACAGAGCCTAGGACTTGCCGATCAGAAGGTCAGCAGTTTGAATCTCCGCGATGGGGTGAGCTCCCGTTGCTCAGTCCCTGCTCCTGCCAACCTAACAGTTCGAAAGCACCTTCTCTGGCGGGAAGGTAAACGGCATTTCCGTGCGCTGCTCTGGTTCGCCAGAAGCAGCTTAGTCATGCTGGCCACATGACAAGGAAGCTGTACGCCAGCTCCCTCAGCCAGTAAAGGGAGATGAGCGCCACAACCCCAGAGTCGGTCACGACTGGTTCTAATGGTCAGGGGTCCCTTAACCTTTACCTTTACCTATGTGTGTAGAACATTTCTCAATCAAAGGATTAGGTAACAATGGGACAGTCTGCAATCCTCTTGGAAAGCATTGCTTCCAGGCAGATATCCTTAAATCCTCATTGCGTTATTGGATATTGGTAGCAAACACAGGTCTGGTAACCCAGGCTATCACTTCTCACTTCCATAGTCATGAAAATGGGACCAATTAACAGGAAGACAGTCATAACAGAAGGAGTAGCACCAGTAGTAGTAAATTTACTTCCTGCCCTTTACCAGCAGGCCCTAGGGCAGGTTACAACAGTTTAAGATTTGGAATTAAGATCAGTTAAAACAGGTTACAGTCACAGGAATAGAGTGAAGAGTACTTGATCCATCCTTCCCTGCTATCACTTTCCTCCCCCAAACTCTTTTCTCTACTTTTCCTTTCTTTTCCCCACTTGAGAAAGCAAACACAGATCTGGAAACAATGTCTCTCAAGGCGGTCTACTGGGCGACAAAGTGAAACAGTAGGCAGGGGAAAGCTGAGCAACCCTGCCTTTCCACATCTCTTCTGCCTCCTTTGCAGTAGAGAAGTGGAAACCTAGATTTGCTAAGCTTGCCACTGATTGCTTAGTTTAGCCCTGATACATCAGAAACGATCTCCTTCCTTGGGATCATTTAAATAATGAGTGGGACTTGTGCATGAGAATGGCTTCACCTTTCACTGCTTCACTTAATGTATCGAGAACCACATAAAAGTGGATCAGCACTCAGACATAATTCAACATGACCAAATGCACTTAGAGTGAACTGTGTTTAATAATGCTGTAGATTACGGGAGGCAAAGGATGTCAGTATATATCGAGATCATATCTAGTGGAAAGATATGTGGCAACAGCAAGCCGTGCCAGACAATTTGCAAAGAAACTAAATCAAATACTAGCCATGATATGTGAATAGAAAAACAAAATCATTAAATGTGTCATATAGAATCTATAAACCAAGTGGTGGAACACATTAACATGGAAATAATCCCTCTATCCAATTTAGCAGCATTTTGTAAAAAATAAAATCTGCCAAAGAGTTCTACTTAATATTAGAATGATGACGCTACAATCTTTCAGCTGGTAGTAGTAAATTTAATCCTATTATTCCCTCTTTTGCAGCTATCCAAAATAATTTCCCCAGAACCCACTGCCATTGCCATTAGTTAGGATTCAAGAGGAAGCCTAAGATAATTAGATACCACAATTCCATTGATAATCACACAGTTATTAAACTTATAGTGAAACACTATACATAGAAGTAATACCCGCTAAATCCAGAGATATATACTACCAAGTAAAAGGGCATAGCGATGGTGGGCAGCCTGTAACCCTCCAGATGTTGCTGGAAGTCAACTCCCATCAATCCCCACCCAACATCACCAACAGTCACGGTTTGTGTACCTTCAGAAATGAAGTTGGTTGGATAACAAGCCCACTCACAAACGACTCCAATGTGCATGCACACAAAAGCTGATACCCAGAACAAACTTAGTTGGTCTCTAAGGTGCTACTGGACAATTTTTTAGTTTTTTAAATTTATTTCAACTGTGTCAGACCAATGGAACTACCTACCTGAATCCAATGGAACTATCACTGCAATCCTATACACAAGTACCTGAAAACAGGTCTCACTGAGTCTCTGTGTTAATGTGTCTAGAATTGCAACTCAAGATTGCAGTCCTAGACACCAATGGTAATCCTTCAGATGCTTTGGGCTCCTGTTCCCATCACCCCTTGTCATCAGCCATCTGACTGAGGCTGAAGGGCGTTGGACTCTAACAGAATCTATAGGGTCAGACACAAGTTCCTCAGTCATGGCCTAAGCTAAGGCAACAATGAGGTCTTGGTTTTGCATGGCGTCCTTTGTACTCCACTAGAAACTGAATATGGCCCTTTAGTCAAATCTGTGATGTGAACCTTAATTGCACTGCCTGCAGTTTCCTTCTGCCTCCAAGGGCCAAAATATCACCTTATTATTTCCTCCTAGTAGAGTTTTTCTGCCTCTGCTTTATTTTCTGTATGTGTGATTCAGATTTTGATCACATTCTGTTGTATAAAAATGGTCAAATGTTAATTAAAGAACATATATAATAATGGCACTTGCATTATTAATTTACACCACTAATGATTTGTTAGCAAAAAGAAAGTTTTGGATAATGAAGTGAATTAAACAACAGTTTTAGCATTTCTTCCTCAGACTGTGCTCTTCTCTAGAAGTATTTAAGTCACCCTCTGGTAATGGTGAAGAATTGTACCTCAATTCATTATGCACACACAGCACAGTTTGACTTGAGTATATTAAATTTTAAATGTATGGAAATGAATATGTTTCATATTCATGCTTAATTAACCTCTGTCCTCACAGAGCAAGGTCTTGACCCTAACAAAACCCTTACTCGTGAGCATATCATGTTCACCAAGAAATCTCAATAAAGCCAATGGCAAACTTAATGCAGATGTATGAATTCAGTGGAAATCCCAGCAGGAAGAAAAACAATTCACCCACTCATCCAGAGCTGTAACTTTAAGCTTGAACAACACCCATATACATTAAAAAAAATAAGCCCAGTTCAGGCATCCTAATCCATAATGCAGGACCAGTTCAAAATCTTCTGCTACCTGACACAAATGACAAGATGACTCCCTCTCTTTTCCACATGCAAAAGCCAACTAAACTGGAAGTTGAGTCTTATTTCAATACTTCCAGTGCATCTGAGAGCAACAAGCTAATACTGAGGAGCAGAAGAGGCCACATGGTACATAACACTCTGTCATCCAACAAAAGGTTATGGCCGGCAGGCCCAGCCCACTGATGGGACAAGGTGAGGCACCTGCCTCAAGCAACAGAAACCCAAGAAGATATTGTGAGATCTCACCGAAAGCCAGTGCCACTGCCAGCGCTTCACGGGCAACACCATGCAACACTGGTAAGAGAGCTGCAGGCAGCAGTGGGGGAGGGGAGCAGTACCTTCCCATTTCACCTCAAGCGGCACTGCTCCTGGGCCAGGGGGCTCAGGAAGAACATCCAGGGAGTTGTCCCTGGTGTATCCCAGAAGTTGCCACCTAAGGTGGTTGCCTCACTCTGCCTAATAGAAGGAATGTCCCCATCCTACTGTGATGAAGGAAAGGCCAACAAGCTCCATTTCCCATTGCTGGCTCCTTCAAGATTCAAAATCATGCAGGAATCTACATGAGTAAAGAAAGCTGCTCGCTCAGAAGTTATCCCACCAAACGTGATCCTAATCCTGTGGGAGATTAGAACAACTGCACAGGGCTACTGTTGTCTTAAACTGAAATGGGGATCCTAGCTTACAAATAAAATCCAGTAGCTTAATATTCAGTATTACATCTTGAAACATATTCATGTTGGCCCACAACAATTCATGCAATATATCTTAGATATCGATTCAACAATGATTTTACTCATGCACGTGGAGTTCTACCCTTGCTCTCTGTGCGGTGTGGTTCAGTTTGAGCTGAAGAAAAGATAGTTCTGCTGAGCACCTATTGGCTGCTACCCATGACAGCACTAACAACCACATGCATTCTCGGGAGCAATTTTGCAAAAATAATTAAATAATCTTGTGGTTTTATTTTAAGTGAAGGTAGTAGAATACATATGTAGTTCTTTGAAGGGTAACAGCCCACCAGATGTACAAGGCATGGGGCAACAGCAAGACTGATGGCTAACACACCTCTTTGACACAGGCAGTAACTCAGCAATCCAGCATTCACTTGTTGGAACATGTTTCTATAACAAAATGATGCAAAGCTGGCTTCACACCATAGATGAAGATGCTCCTATGACTATCCTTAGACTGCTTTTAGAAATCACTCCAAGATATTATTCACAGGATCAATGTACAGGATGACTTACAAAAGCAAAATTGTAAAATGGAGTGTTTATTGGGCAAGATTGGAATGTTGATTGGCCCCATATGACATACTCTCATGTGTTCTAAGAAGAACATTTTAACTGAACTTTTCTGAAGCAAAATCCCCTATACCCTAAATACAAGGTTTTTTGTTCCTAAAGTTTTAGGAAACTTTCTACTTTCTTACAAAAAAACTCAGTATTTTAAAAAATGGAAGTAATATCATCTCCAGTCTAACATATCTCTGAACTGTCAGACAGCAAAACTTACTTGCAAACAGGAAATTCATTTAAACGCAATTGGAAATATTCTGCTATGATATTTATAGCACATTCATTACACCCCAAGTTGAAAGCACAGACTTTTAAATCATCTGCATGAATTATAACCCAGGTCCATGATGACATGAATAATAATCAAAAAAATGGATTTGTAATTTACTAAAATGCTGCCTGAGAAATGGAAAGCTGATTTTTAAATCAGACATTTGAATGGATGAATAAAATTTCTAATCAACACAAAAATAACAGTAGGAAGATTAGTGTTGCTGTTATAAATAAAAGCCAGTAAAAGTCTTTTAAATTTCCTTTCCAATGTCCCTGTTTATGCAATACAAGTTTACACAATTACATATATTCAAATCTGATTATCATGCTAATAAGATGAGAGAGAAAATCAGCAGTCATGAGGAGGTACTTAAAATTTTAGCCCACCCACTGTCCAAAAGAACCACAAAGAAATAGTATTAGCAGTGGTCTAGTGCAGTGGTGTAGCGTGGGTTGTCAGCACCCGGGGCAAGGCAAGTAATTTTCGCCCCCTAACCCGTGGATTTGCGCCCCCTAACCTGTGGATTTGCCCTAACCCCAGATGTTGCGCCCGGTGCGGCCGGGCCCCTCTGCACCCCCCACGCTACGCCACTGGTCTAGTGAAGTTGCTTACATCTTCCACAGCAGTAGTTATATTTTACACCATACCAATGACTTAGACACAGTTTGGGTAACCAGAATAAGTCCTTCCTTGTGGAGTGGAAGGTACCAGAACAGGTGGGTGTGTGGACCAGCTTGATTCCATTCCTGGCACAAGGCACCAGTTGAACTATTCTTGTTAGAGCATGTGTGAATATTTGTTAAAGGCAATTGTACCACCCATACCCAAGTGGAAGGCTAGGCAGCTGTGGGAGAACCCCAAGATTTCGAGAAGTGCAGGTGGAGGAACCGAATCTGAGAACTCCAAAGAGCCACAGGAGAACTGAACATGCTTAGTGGGCATTCTGACCAACTATTTTTGATGGGTTGGAAATGCAGAGGGAGAAAGGATGAAATAGAGGGGCTGGTCCCACTTAGAGCATTCTATAAGTCGGTCATGGTAGGTGCATTAGCAGAGGGTGTAGCTGGCTTTTATAGCCAGAGAGCAGACCAAATGAAATAAGTTTTCCCTCTGGTCCACTCACTAAACCGCACTCCCAAGCTTGCCCACAATTGGCTGCAACTGTGGGCAAGTCCCAGGAGTCAGTGCCACCAGCAAAGAAGGAAGTGATGTCAACCCCTAGAAGGTCGCCCCACTGCCACAGCCGCCACTCTCCTCCAGCCGGCAGGTGAGCAGCCATTGCTTTATTTAAGAAACTTCTGCTTTTTAATACTTACATTGTAGAGGAGCAAATTCAAAGTGCTGATAAATGTGCCATTGTTCTCTCTTACAGATATAGCAGCTGATGATCTAGAACAGATTTAGAAAGCAAAGTATTATTGATGGAATCATCTATTTTTATTTTTATTTTTTTGCAATTCCATATTTCACTATTAAATCAGGTTTTGGAATTCACCACCAAGAGTACCCCCCCCCAATCTTGTGTTTTTAAATTGCTACAAATCGGAATTTATAGTGGAAGCCCTGTCAGAGCTTTGAAACAATGGGCATTGCTGAAACAATGGATCAGGCAAATAATTAGCTAAGAAGCAAATTGATAGGGGAAAATAACTTCTTGTGATATACAGTACATAGAAATAGCATTTGCTTGTGTTACATATACTAATATATTGCTGTGCAAAAAGAATTGAAAGTAAATATTTCTTTGCTTATGTACAAGTACTACTCTATCTTTAAGAGGAATTGTAGAAGAACTTTCATCATGAAAGCTAACACTAAAACAAAGCCTTCAGTGCCGTGCTAATTCTATAGCAAACCAAATCCCTAGAATACTTTCCTTCTTGTCATTATTTTCCTTCTCTATATCCTCTTCCTTTCCTCTTCTCAAATTGGATGTCGCTTCTAATTATGGAGGGGGAAATGACCAGAATCCATGCATTTCATCAGAAATCTGATATGTTCACAGGGCATATCGACCATGCAAAGCTCCAGCCAGCTACTTTAATGACAATAAATACAGTGCAAAGGCTTCCTGATACACAGAACAATCACTTCTTGCAATATCATGCTCATACTTACGAAGCAAGTTGTGTATTATTGACCAGATATTCCAAGGGATAGCTGCAACTAAATTTATACAGAAGTCCTGGTAAATAGCTGATGATTGTGGGTGGATCTGGGGTGTCTATGTATCCCGAAACATTGCCTATCTGGACTGTTGATACATTGCCATAAGCATTAATTCCTGGAACTGAGGTTACCTAGTTAGATAAGGTCAGAAAACAGAATTATGGGGAGGCAATCTTATAAGAAAATAGAATTTTTAAAATAGTGAAGATATGACTGTTAAAGGTTAAGAAATCATCCTTGTAAATTATATGATGCACCACAAACTCTACATCAGGACATAAGAAGCACCACGCTTGATCCTGCAAAAGGCCCACATAGTCCAGCATCCTATTCTCACAGTGATGAACCATGGGAAGACCACAAGCAGTACCTGAGGGCAACAGTGCTCTCCCCACTTGTGATTCCCAGCACCTGGTGTTCGGAGGCATACATTCTGCTGTCCCACTGATGCTATGACAGATACAAATGGGAGCAATAGCTACCTACCATTTCTGTCAAATATATCAAAGTGATTTGTTGCGCAACCTTAGTTCAATCTGTTAGTCTGCTCTGAAATAAGCCCCCACAATACTTTCACAGAACCATGTATCCCCCAGAAAAGTAGGGGCAATATTCAGCAACTTCCAGGGGCAGGCATTTGAAGGAAATGGTGTTACCTTTAAATGTGATAACAATTGAGATATTTTCTTCCTTTTTACCAATAGCCACAATGGGGGCAAAGATCTCCCCCCCTCCTAAGAATAAATGCTCCTAAGAATGAAACTGCAGCATGATGCCAGAGGCATTCTGTCACAGGAGTGTGACTAAACTGCTCTAAGCAATCAAACTGCTACTTGAGGCAGTGCCAGACTTTCAATTCTTTTGGTAAAAATACAGAGAAAGAGAGAAAAACCAGTGTCAGTATGGTAGAATAGGAACTGGAAGTTCAAATCCCCACTCATCCATAAAGCTCACTGGGAAACCTTAGATCAGTCACCAACTCTCACCCCAACTCACCTCAGAGGGTTGTACTGAGGATAATAAGGAGAGGGAGAAAACCCTCTTAGACCTAATGAAATGATAAATAATAATAATAATAAATAATGGTGCCCTCATCCAACTCATAGTGAAAGATAAGACCACCAACACTCCAAAATTCCTCTTTCACCTCAGTGTTGCCTGAATAGAATTCAGCAAGAAGGTGGATGGGAACCAAATTAGAATCAGTGGGTTCTGCCTGCCAATGACACTGGCTTCCCCTACTGTTGGTGCTTCTGCTTTCTGCCCTGTCAGTCCCACTGGGTACCAACAGAGACAGGGATATTTGGGTCAGAACCAGTACATGCATGGTCACTCCCCCTAAACATTCTATGAACATTCTATGAATACATAAACAGGGCCAGCATCTATTGAATAACCGTACCCATCTAGAACTATCATTAATAATGTACTGGTAGCACGGTGTATTGGAACATATCTGGAAGACCATTGTATTATGGGGAGTTAGGTGCAATGGTCTGCAAATTTCCCCTTTGGGTGCCCTCAAAGTTGCGCAAGTGCAGAGCTTGATCTGGCACTTTTCGGTAGTTAAAACAGTGCAGTGTTGTAAATCAGAGTTCTCTAAGAGTTAATCACAGCTTGTGGGAATCAGCACTTATTATAGAAAGGCCACCTGGCTGAAGGAGTGGGAGAGGTGGAGCCATATGTCCTTTAGAGATAGAGCTACCTACATCCCCATGTGAGTCATAAGGCACAAAATCAGTTTGGGTGCTTTCAGTGTTGAGCAGCATAGCATGGAGATATCTAGACCGTCTCATCCCTTTGTAGACTGCCATATGTTATGACTACTCCCCTAACCTTGTTAGACATAAACTTAGACATGGTTATGGGAAGGTGACTCCAGGCAAAGGTGCTCAAGTGTCGTCTGCACTCCCAGGTAGTATGAGGCCCAAGCCCAACAGGGGTCAGAGGAATCTCAGTGCAGACCTTGCTGTCAACATTGATGCTGCACATATCACCTGTAAGGAGTTCAATCCATTGCCTGCCCAAGAAGTGTAAAGGATTTTCCAGCAGCAGATGGAGTTGTGAGATCTTGTATTTCTCCTTCTTCTTTTCCTCATCCTGTTAATAATACTTGTTAAAGAGAAACTTTGGTGGTCTATATTGTCCATCTGAATCCTTAAAAAAAAACTTGCCTTAGCCATCCAGAACTTTTGGCAGAACACAAAAGTCTTTGGTCTTGTTGGACTTAGTCTACTCTGTTGTGTAGTCCACAACATCCCTACTGCCATGAATTACTACTGACTCTATTTATAGTCACTATGTCTGTTCTTTAAACAAGTTCAAAGCTAGAGGTAAGCAAGGTATGCTTACATGGAAGAAAATGGATGGCATGACCCAGCCCTTATCCTTGCACACTAACATCAGCCCTTTGCCGTGACACCCAAGTGTCAGAATATTTGCATATGCAAATAATAGAATTTTCATTTCAATTAGCTTTCTTATAAACCATTTAATTGTCCGCTCTCAGTTATACATCTTCTGCAGTGAACTCCAGCTCACAAAGCATTTGACCTTGTACTGCTTCACTTGATGCTGTATCATTATCATTATTGCAAGAAAAACACTGGAATTGCTAGAATTCTTTGAATGGCCAGCTAAGGGATGAAGAACTCATTGACTTTGATCCTATCTATCCAGCTGTCAGTTTGTGAGCTCATCTCAGAGGAGAGACGTAGCAGATAGAGAAGCACAGTGTCAAAGTACTTCCTGTGATAACCATCATTAGATGCAGGCAAGATTTCAGCACAATAATCAGGTTCGCATAGCTCAGGCATGCGCATAATTCCTCTTCTAATCTCCCATGCTCCCAGAATATTTTCAGAATACTAGGAATTAAATAAATATATATATATATAAAATATAAATAAAAAGCCACAAAGGTGCTATCACTGTGCTTACTCACAACTCCAACATTTACTGGATGAAAAAACATGAGGGTACAGAAGGAATGTGACTAAGCCATCACACTCCAAGTTTCCCCTCCAGATCCATCTCACTGGATGCTAGTTGTGGGGACGGGGATACCCAGAGTGAAATGCCATGTTTTGTGTTTTTACATGACACCACAAGAGAGGAGGGGATGAGGAGATGCTTTTTACATTGGCAGTTACACATTTCCCTATGCTTAGTTCCACCTTCAGAAATGATGAGGGTGGTGCAAACAGTCCCATTATCACAAAACATTACAGCAAATGTGTTGGCTCATTTACAACTAAACATTTTATTCAGAAGTGGAAGAGTAAGACTTAAGATTGTGGCAATAACTGCATATCAATCTTCAAAAAAAAATAATGAGCTGCTCATTCTTAAACTTCAGGCATTTGTATTTGTGAATTGCACTCACTTGTGCGGTATGCTCTATTTCATACTTCATCTCTCTCTTTTTAGCAGTGAAATGTAACCAAGCATGATCTGACAGTTTTTGTTTCCTCCCGTTTCTTATTTTTCCAAGCTCAATGCATCAGTTTGCAATTAAAAATAAAATAAAATTTCTCATTAACAATTATCAGCATTTCAGTGCAAACTTCTTCTAACATACACACCTTAAATGCAATTTTGCCTAATACACACATTTCTGCAAACAGAATGCATTTTTGTCTGGTGTTTTTACTAATTCACAGAATTCGGATAAGTGTGGCTTTCAAAGAATAGCATATTGTTTGGGGAGCTGGGAGTTAGTTACATTCAAACTAAAACGCAAACTGAACTGAAATTCTTCTCCATCTCACTGCGTAGCCTCAAAAGAATTGCATCTTACCATTAAAGCATTCCCACAGGCCTCCAAAGTGCTGAGATTGATTATGAAAATGACCACCGCTGGAAATGTGTTGTTGTTTATAAATCCCCTACAGTGGGAGTCCCCGTGTTTCCCATTTAATGCCAGATCCGTTTCAGAATAACCAGAAAAAAGGACAGTGCAAAAATTAATCTTCATAGTAATAGCCTGTACTCCACAGTAGACACTGATATCTCGTTCCGCTGAAATGAAAAGTGAAGGGGGGAACACATTGAAGTTATTGAAATATATTTTTATATATTTATATTTTGTGATCTAAAAACAAAGCAATTCATGTGGAAACAAATGGACCTCCTTTGACAAAGAATTCCCATTAAGGGTGGGTACCAGTACTAAAGAGGTATGCTCTGCACCAGTGATGTGGGCAAGGTAACTGGACTGCCTTGGGTGGCAGGATTCACTAGGGTAGCAGCTCCCGATGCCCATCTTTCTTTCTCCCTTGTTCCTGATATAGATCTTCCCTCATCCCTTCTTCCCTGTCAGGGAGGGGCATGCCACTCTGGGGTCCACTTCAGGTGCCAAAATGCCTTGGGCCAGCCCTGGTGTACATCACACCCAAAAACATCAATACATAGCAGACAATTTATTAGGATCAGCCGACAGTCATGGAATACACTGGATGTTCAGGTTGCGAATGTGATCCGTGTGGGAGGCACATTCACAACCCGCAGTGCTGTGTCTGCACACGTGCGGGTTGCGATACGGCGCTTCTGCGCATGCGCAAAGCATGATTTAGTGGTTTTGCACATGCATGAGCTTGAAACCCGGAAGTAACCCGTTCCAGTACTTCTGGGTTTCGCCGCGTCCGTAACCCGAAAACACGCAACCTGAAGCTTCTGTAACCCGAGGTATGACTGTAGATATTTAGAGAATAAGCATGTAGAAAACCCTGAGCTTTAACAAAAGATATTCAGCCTGCTGAAACTGGCTTTTAGAAATGGAAGCAATCTTGCAAGGAAAAGATTACCATACAAGCCACAGCTTTGAGGTAGGAACCCTACCAAAGGAAAGGCCTGATAATTTCCCTCGTTCTCTGACTTCCTCTATGCTAATCTGTCACAAACAGCTGAAAAACATGAAAGCCTCCTTATCATCACATTCACTGGCAAGCACAAGGATGGTCCACCGATTACCCTGTTGCCCCAGCTGATTACATCATTGTACCTTCTCTGAAAAGAAAAGTCCTGAAGCTACTCTTCCCTGTGTTCTCTGTCCGGTACACCGCTCTCTTACACCCTAACCAACTACAACACTGTAAAAGTCGAAATTCAAAGCAAAGACCCATTGGTTTATCTTAATACCTTAGGAGCATCACATGGTACTTCATGCATGATAGGACAGCAACTAGAATACACACATGCACACACGATCCCTTGCCTGCTTTGTGACTTTGTTTTACCATTTTTATACATCCTTCATTTGTGGAAAGGAACAAGAGACTCTCCCCTCTCAGACACATTCAGGGCCTTTTTCCCCTCAGGGGATGAGCATGGTGGACATGCAAATGCACCCCAAAAAGCTTTAATGTGGCAATAAATTGATACCACTCGTATTTTGCATATCATATTCCATTCCAAGGTCCATGCAAAACAGCAGACATTTAATGCAGCATTACATAAACAAAAGGTTAGGTGTAGAAGAATCATAATGAAAAAGCTGGCTTCATTAAATGGGGCATTCAAAGCTTTCAAGCAATTCGAAATGATGTAGTATATGCACTTTTTAAATCTTGCGAGGAACCATTATGCAGCCTTTACACAAAAATTAGCCCTTGGAAACAATATTTCTTCTCACATTTTGCTCGCTGATATTCTCACTTAATGTAGGATGCAGATGAGCAAGTATTCTGAGCACCCAATTCATTTGGCTCCGGAAGTGTACACAGCAACTATTAATAGCAATTTAGAATTCCAAGCAGCACAGTGGAATAGGTAGGTGATAGAAAACGATATGCACATTATTAGGAACTATTAGAAAAGGTAAAAGAAAATAAATCAGCAAATGCTATGGAAATATTATAGTAATCCTTGTTTCCTCTATATTAATGCCTTAATCCTTATCAGCTTCACTTGAGAGCAGTGCCCACTAGTCATTACAGCTGTAATTCTAAGAATAGCACTCAGCATTGCAGCCTTATTCAGAGAGAAAACATTCATATAAACACCTTTCTTTCTCCTCTGTGATCCCGATGCAGATGCTCATTTGAATGTACATCCTTAGCTGAATGTCATGCTTCTCTAAGCAATGCCAGCTCTACCATTAGGCAGAGTGAAGTGGCTGCCTTAGGTGGCAGATACTGAGAAGCAGGGATAGGCAGCAAGACTCTGCTTACCCATAGCTTAGAAGCAAGGCAGCAAGGTTAAGCTTGTCCATAGCTGGGGCTGAGCTCTGTTAGGTGGCTCCTGCCAGCATTCAATGATTTGTCTGCTCTGCAGTTCAGTTTTGTTGCTCCAGTTCAGTCAAATGATATATGTCCAGTGTTAGAAACTGAGAGATGAAAGCTAGGAGCTAAACAGCACCTTTAACCTAGGTTATGGGCGCAACAACGAATGTCTAGGCACCCTTTTTTAATAACAAGAATACAGAGCTGAAAATGAATGAACTGCAGCTAAAATATTATGTTCCTTTTTCACATGGATTAGTCCTTCTCCGGCCCACCCCCCTAATATTCTTAAGAAGGTCTCTTGTACAGTCTTCAGAGAGTAGTTGGAAGTGGGGAGGCAGAAGAAGGTCCTCCTTCCACTCTGCAGTTTCAGCCTGAAATCTTAGGCACAGTACTGCACCCAGAGCTCAGAAACTGCTTGCGCTAATGAAATTCCCTGTCGCAAAATGCGCCTGGAACAATGAGAGTTTCACACACTGTATAGGTCCTGCTCTTATTCCAGGTGTGGGAGCAAATGTCATGAGGACTCATCCATAGGAACTGCTCCTTAAAAGATGGCTGGAGTATCGTACTCTCATACTTTTGCTTTGTTTAAGAGCAAAGGATTATGCCAAGATTGTCCAAAGCATTCCAGAAATTAATCTACACTGGTCAGTTATGTTAAAAATGCATTATAAAAATTTACACCAGACGGTGCTATAGAGCAGCAATCTGTCACCAATGCAAAATTGCATTGAGAGCTATATTGCGGTTTTTTTTATATAGGTCTTTTACAGATCAGTATAGATCCAGCCCAAATGTTCTATTGGTTGTGCACAAAGTAAAATGTTCAACCAGTTCTCACATATACTGTGCTTCATGTGCATATCAAGGCTGTTGACTTTGATTGGCTGAATGAGTGCTATAATGTTGCACTGCAGATTGTGCTCTGAGTTTCAGAGCAACTTGTTATGCAGACAGCTTCTATTAAGTAGGGGAAATGTCAAAGCTGTGCACGTGTTCTGGGTTGCCAATACAGTTTGCACATGCTCAATGGATACCAAGAATTTGAGCTTGTTTTTAAAGAATTCTCAAATGTGTATTTTCACTGAAGTATTGTCTTAAATGAACAGTGGAATTCCTGCTGAAAAGTAAGGTGACTGAAAATATCTTAAAATGTATTGAAATCCTGGATATATTTATGGCTCCTGGATATATTTATGGCTCCAGTTGTAAACATAATACATCATAATCAAGAGCCAACCACTGCAGTGTTAGAGCAATGTTCAGTGCCCGTAAGATGGGGTAAATATTGTTGAACATAGCGGAGCCTTTGTTAATTCTTTACACGTTGTAATTATTCTTTGTGCTCCACTGCATGGATCATTAATTTAAATAAAGGGGAAGTTATTAGATCTTCTTAATGATTTAGCACTCTTAAAGTGCCGGAAAACTGTTAGTTATTACCACTAGGACTGTCAGGATGAATTGTCGTGCTACATTTTTGACAACATAAGGAGACTTGAATGTCTAAAGTAAATGTACTGCTCCTTCTACATATTGCATGAAATGGCAATTGTCTCTAGATCAGCTTCATAATGGGTTTCTGTGGGAGGTAGTATCAATCCAAGAATCCATTCTTACAATACCCTAAAGGAAGGAGCAATAACTCAGTGGCACAGCACATATTTTTGATGCAAGAGCTGCCAGGTTCATTCCCTGGCACCTGCAGTTAAAAGAATTAGATATCAGAAAGGCTAAGGAGACCTGTGCCTAAGACCCTGGAGAGTGACTGCCAGTCAGAGTAGACATTGCTGGTTGGTCTGAACAACTATCTGGCTCAGCATCATACTGTCATGGGTTTTTTAGAGGGGGGCAGGTTGTGCTAAATTCCTGGTGTCATATCCTCCTCCTAATTCCTGGATTTAGTAAAAGTTACAATTAATCAAGGTTTGATTAAACTTTGCCAAAGACGGAAATCTGCTGGCTAATGAGTCAAGCCAGTTCAGCAGACAAAGGCTAGTGATAACCCATTAAAGAAACCATCAGAGGACAAGATTGCCAGGCAAAGGGGAGTTGGGCTCCTTCTTTGCTGGGTGTTAGTGGGCAGAAGCAAAGGCAAGGTTTAGGGTTTCAACTTTGAATATTGTGGCTGGGGGAAGTCCATGGAGTTAGCAGCGAGAAGGAGACAGATGGGCAGAACTCCATATGAGCTGGAACTAAGAGACACAGAGAGTGGCTTTTTGCTGTCATTTGAAACCAATTCTACCCTTAAAGGGGAAACCAGACCCTCATAGGATGTGCATGCTCTGCAATTCCTCCATCTAGGTGCAGGTTGTATATGTGTGCAAATAAAACCATATATCATGAAGACACTACAGTCTCTGCTATGCCTAATTTCTGAAGGAAACACAAACCATGGCTAAGCACCTGAAACCCCTGGACTCTCACCCTGCTCATGGAGATTGGGGTGGCATACGACAATATGTTCTTATGTACCTACACAGTGCAATGGACTAAAATATCACCAGCAATAAATGGAAATGCAGGATAGATTTAAATGCATTAATCCTGTTCAGATATTTGATCTGTGTATATATGGTAGTGAATGAGTAAGTATCAGGATTGTGCTCACAGGCCAACTTTCAAGTGTCATCCACTCAGGGTTTCCATCTCAGTTGCGGCCAGCAGGGTGGTGTGGGGTTTCTCACCTGGTTTTCCAATTCTACATATTGCTGTCCGTTACTGAGAGGGAGAAGGAGCGGAGCAAGACAGCAGGGAGCTCAGTGTGGTGCAAGTGCAGCAGCAACAACATCATCAGATTGGCTGCACCACTGTGACACTGAGCTTTCTGCTGACTTGCCTATCTCCCTTTCAGTAACCAGCAGAGACACATGGTGTTTTGAAGAAGAGAAGAAGAAGAGTTTGGATTTGATAACCCGCTTTATCATTACCCTAAGGAGTCTCAAAGCAGCTGACAATCTCCTTTTCCCTTCCTCCCCCACAACAAACACTCTGTGAGGTGAGTGAGGCTGAGAGACTTCAGAGAAGTGTGACCGGCCCAAGGTCACCCAGCAGCTGCAAGTGGAGGAGCGGAGATGCAAACCCGGTTCACCAGATTACGAGTCCACCGCTCTTAACCACTACACCACACTGGCTCTCTCTCTTAAAGCCAAGTAAGCAATGCCGCAATGCCCACCCTGACTGTCCAGCTGCTACTGCCAGGTCAGAAAACTTGAGGAACTGCTGCCAATCAGTGTAGATATTACTGAACTGGATTGACCAATAACCTGACTAGATATGAGGTAGCTTCCTATGTTCATGATAATTCAAAGGTTACAGCATGATGGAAAGGATAGTCCATAAGTGTTTGGAATCCCTAAGCATACACTATGTATCACTATTGCTAATTTGATGATAAAAATTAATCACCAGTATTATTGTCCCTTTAATTGAATCAATAAAGTTGTAGAAGCATGATTGAACTATATTTTTTGTGATGTATTAAATCACCAGTGGAAACGTTAGGTGAAGTCTAGAATCAGCTTTATTTTTACAGTCTTCCAAATGGAACCCTTAGTGGCAAATTAGCTGCTGATCCCTTTGTGGGCTTGGCAGTAACTGTGACCACTTGTTCAAAATAAAGATCTGGAATTATCTATAGGCAATAAATGCCTATTTTTGCAGACACCTTCCTAAAATCTGGCTAACACTAACATAATAAGCATGAAGAAATAGGTGTAACACTTCTGAAAACATAAGGAAATAACTCACAATGTTGTGTTCATAATGTTATTACACAATGTTTGTTCCAGTTTCCTCTTTGTAACCATGGAGTTGGTTCCAGGATAACTAGCCAATGTGATACTCTCCAGGTATTTTGGACTACAGCTACCATCAGTCCAGCTAGAATAGCCAATGATGTTAGATTATGGGAGTTGTAGTTCACAATATCTAGAGGGCACCTTCTAGAGGGCACCTCATTGGTTATAAATCAGTGCCAGGTCCACCAGTGCATCTATTAATGGGCTTAATTATGAAATGCAAAGTTGAGCATAACATTCACAAGTAACCCCATTTTATTTATTTAAGTAAATGTGCATCTTTTTGAACACAGCATTGAAAATCTGGTATTGAAAAACAAGTTTTCTCCAGCCCCTTTCTATATCTTTAGTGAGATCCTCATTACATACTAAACAAAATATTGAGCTGCTACCACTCAGGCAGAAGTCTCATCAAATAAGCGAAAAAGCAGGTGAAGAATGCCATATCTCCAACCATACTTCAAGAGTGACTCACAGGTATACTCTTGTCTTGCTACCACTTCGGGTGAAAACAAATCAATAATGGGCCAGATTCAACCAGCCAGTCCTGGTTGGAAGCTAGCGGAAGAACACCTGCTCATGCAATGGAACTTTATTCACCCTCTCCTCCTTCCAGAAAAACCATTTCTCTCCATCTTTTTGGAGGATCAGGTGAACCCTCAGAACAGCATGTAGAGGTAGGAGATGAGAGATCATTCCTTCAGGAAAGCAGAAATACTTGCACCATCAGAACAATCTCCTTATGTTGAACACCAATATTTATTACCCCTCAAGAGGGAGTTAGTGCATAACATGTTAACCTTTGAGGGAAAGGAAGAGGTGCAGTACAAGTCCTAAATGTTAATAAATTGCCCACAAAACACCACAGGATATTAAGTGGTTCATTTTTAACCCACCCTAAAACTGCAATTGATGCGCTTATAAGAAAACAACTCTTTCAGAACTGTAGCAGGAGTCATGGTCTCAAAGGGTGCAAACGTAGGTGGACATTTCAACCAATTCTATCACAAATAATTAAAAAGTTATAGAAACTTCTTTTTTTAAAAAAAAATCAGATGCTAATCTGACCTTTCAGGGGAGGGTCTTCCATTGAAAATGCTCTAGCAACATAACCACAAAGTAAGGGGCACCCAAAGCAAGGCCTGCAACGAAGACCTGGATGAATGGGCCTTCAAATATTCATCTCCTAATCCCTTCAAAGGTAAGCTTAGAAACATATTGATAACCTACACCGATCTTTTAATATGTGTTGAATATAGCATCTTCTGTTAACAACTTTGTCACTGTATTCTGGAGCAGTTTACATTTCTGAACACTTTTCAGAGTCAACCAGAGTGCAGTGCATTACTCTAGTCACGTTCCAAGAGCATCTTCCTGGTCCAGCCTCATCCAGACAAGAATGCTACTGGTACATTTCTGCCTACTATGGTGCATAGAGCTCAGTGGGTATCAATCACAATCAAACATTCTGTCTACAGAGACCAATATCTACATAATCTGGACTCTATTTTCATACTTAGTTTGATAAAGGAAAAAGCATTAGGAACTGGCTGCTTTGAAAAGAGAGGAGGAGGAGGAAAAGAAGAAACTATTTACATAACGTAATAGAAGAATCAGAAACACATCTGTTTCATACATACTAAAGGCAACTACCTGCGTTGTACTTTTTGGTAAGATCCAGTCCTATTTTTCTAGAAAAAGAGGTGTCGGAACTCACCATGAACACCTCCCTTATTCTCTTATAATGGCAATGATGCCCACCTGAGAGGTGCTGGAACTGCGTTCCAGTGAGTTACGGCTGAAAAAAGTCCTGATAAGATCTATTTCTTTCACTAAAGCAAATGAAGCAAATCTCTAGCAAGGGTCTAATCTGTTCAATGCTCTAATCTCTCCCCAAACCACAATCTTCACTTGTCCTGCTCTGTGTCCTTCCTGAGTGCTTTTGTCTGGTTAGAAAGTGTCCTTGAACAGTGACAAGGACCTCCTTCTGCACTATGCATATAAAGCAGTATCATACCAGTTTGGGCTACCCACCCCCAACACAAAAAACATGGAAACTGTAGTTTGCTAACTATAGTCAGCGTGAACAGGTGGGTTGAGGTTTTTTGGGTTTTAGGATTAAATAGCAGCCACGGGGAAATCAAATTCAGGTCGAAATCCTGATAGGGCTAGGTGACATTTTGGCACACACATTCCTCTGCTACAATCCCAATCCATATCAGGGAGGTGGCACATTAGGTATTTACTCTATAAAAAATAAACCTTGCTTGAATAATGCCATATCTTGTTTGGGCCTAAGGAAATTGCTTCCTATACTTCTAGAAAGAAAGAAAATCCATTTTAAATATTGTCAACAGCAATCTGTGCAAGTATTCTGTGCATAGTGAATTAACGCATGAAACTCAGCCTTCACGAAAGAAAATGAAACCCTGTTGTTATTATGGGTAGCTGCGCCCATGGGTAGCAAGCTCTGTGCTACTTCAGAGGAATTTCACTCACCATTAGTTAGTTAATGAGGAGTTTGTTCCAAATGCTTCATTTACTTTAAAGCTTTGTAGTCTCTACAAACAAGCTAACAAAGGACTTATAATTAATATGTTTCAATTAACACTTACCAGGAAACCTGCTGTGGAGGTTGGCATCACAGTTGTATCCATTGAACTGCGCGGTCACTGTGAGAAACTTTGCAGTCAGCAGGAGCAGCAACCATGCTCGTTCCATTGTAAAACCTAAGGAAAACATGAGGCGATTATTCTGTGTCCCCATTTACTGCACCAGAGATACTTATTGTGATTGTTTTGTGATCATTGGATCAGGTCTGAAATAACAAGGATCCGCTGTGAAGTTGACCATCTTGCCTGATTTTAAAGCAACAGGTCTGTGGATGAAAGAATGGCTGATCAACAAAGGCTCGCCAGGAGGAAACCCACCTCATGGCATAGAATGTCTCGGCTGGTGCTTACATCCCTGTGCCTAAATGAGAGGGCATTATTTTCATGCCTCTTGTATTCAGTTCATTGCATTCTTTGTGCTCTGGCACAGCTTTGAACTCCTTTTCTTCCAAGGTTCTCCGCTGGGTTTTTGTGCTTAAACTATACATCACAGAGCCCCGTACTGTTTTCCCAGTTGGGTTTCAGGCTGTGAACCTAGGCAAGGGAAGAAGCCTGACAGAGCACAGTAAGAGGACTTATGAGTACACATGTATAGGATTGCTCTGTAAGTGTGCTGGCTTCTGTGTCACATTGTGTGCACAATATCCAGATAGAAGTCTCCTCGTGCCGCCCAAAATAGATTGTTGGCATTAATAGCTTCTTCTAGTAACACAACATAGGAAGATGCATTAAACTGAGTCAGGCTACTGGTTTGTTCAGATGAGAATTGTCTACACTGACTGGCAGCAGGTTACCAGGTTTTCAAACAGCAGTTTCCCAGACCTGCCAAATTCCAGGGAATGAACCTGGGAGCTTATGCATGCAAAACCTCTGCTCTCCCAGGACCTTCTGTGTGCAAAGCATAGGAACATTGGAAGGTGCCCTTCTGCAGAATCAGATCATTGGCCCATGTAACTCAGTACCATCAACAGTGACTGTAAGTGGCTCTCCAGAGTCTTGGGTTAAGGGTCTCTCCCTGGAGATGCTGTACTACTGGGCTACATCCCTCCCTCCTCTGGGCAGCGGTGGTGGTTGCTGCTGTTGTTTTAATTTACATACCGCTTACATGCCAAAATGTAAGCATATGTTCTACTTGCCAGTATTTGACTATCATGGTTACGGATTATATTCTGCAGTTCCTTTTGGCTCACATTGAAGTCCTTCGGATTCAAAAGGGACCTCTTGCTTTTGTTACATTTGTTTCTTTTTAGGTAGCACAAAAATTCAGGCTTCTCCAGCTGTAAGATGTGCAACTGTGGCTATCACTTTTCTTCCTATATATTTTTGTCTGCTGTATCAATGGGATAAATGCTCATGTTCATATCAGCAAGCTCTTTGGTTCTGTGATGCTGTATAGTCAGTTATCAAAATAATATTGGAACAAATCTATGGCGAGGCTTAGCGGTCAAAGCAATCATTCCTACAGCATTTAACAATCTGAAAAGTGGCGTTGAGCCACTGATCAAATATGAAGTACGACATTTGGGACATTTGTGCCAGCACCTATTGCTTTCCCTTCACTAAAGACTCTCCAGTTTATTCAGTTGTATCCAATGATTATTCCATAAAGCATATATTATAATGTGATAATAGCATTATAACCAGTTGGCTATCTAGCCTGTTTTGGAATCATATCACGACTCAGTCAGAAAGAAGGCTGCTTATAAATGCTCAAAAATACGTATAACCTGAAGTCTCTACATCTAATTGTGAGGTTTCAGTGTAACTAACTAGTATGAAAATATTTCAATTTTAGTGCAGTTCATTTCAATTTCAAGAATGAGAGGTGCAAGTAGATTCTTTGAAATATCTATTTGAAGGAGAGAACATAAATCCTTTCCTAATGGAATGAGACAGAAGCCTTGCCACAAATTTCAATAACCAGGATAGAAGTCCACTACACTCCCTCAAGTATTAACAGACACCAAATGCATGCAAGACAACCAGAAACTATTGAACTGTTCGTAGTTTTATAACCTGCTGAGTTATGCTCCTTTGGGATATTTAATAATATGAAGAATCATTATTCTTTAAATAATGATCATTACACAAACATTATTTAAGAATTTTACAAGGACAAAGAACTTTCTGCAGAGTTTCTGAAAAAATAATAGCAAGATGCTTGGTATATTTATTCAGAATAAGTTCCACTGGGTTCAATAACACTTACTCCCACTTAAGTGTAGTTAGGATTGCAGCCTAGATTCCCTATGTGATTTCACTTTGACCCTTTTCCAACACTGCATGTGATATGTTTATTTTTATAAATTAACTTCTAATAAGCGGCTTGTTTGGTTGCACACATCTACTCTTCAAAGAACAAATGACACAATTTTCATAACAGCAGTGATTTTTAATATTATTATTTTTTAAAGCTATGCATCTGTGACTCATGCTAATGAAACAATTTTTCTTCAATCTTGCAATGAGCAGCTTATTTCCAGCTGTGAGAAAACAGAGTTGTTGCACTGCAATTCTGTCTCCTAACTCCATTCTGAAAAGTAAGTTGCCTCTGAATCTTGTGACACTTGTGAGTTCTGAGAGGGGAACCTATAACATGTTGGTGAGCATGTTGCTTAATGCATACAGATGGTCCCAATATAATCCTCATGATCTCTGCAGAGCAAGATCTTTTCCCCACTGTCAGAAGGGAAGCTCAGTTTCTTTCAGAGAAGTCAATCCATGGACTAGATAGATCAATGATCCCAGTAGAAGGCAGCTTCATGTTATAGGATATTCCCATATTCCAGATGTGAATGCAGATCAAAGTAAATATCACTTGGGTTTAATTAACCTGTATACGCTTGCAGAGGGTGGACTAGAGAACTTTTGTTGTGAGGAAAGAATCAATAGGGAATAATAAAGAAATACTTTATTCCGTTATGAAATTTTCTATCCTGTTGTATTCTCCAAAGAGACTGAAGGTGGCTAACAAGAGATAAGAATGACATTAAAACAGAACAAATCAAACACAAAACAATAAACAACTAATTTAGCAAATTCCTCCAGCATACAAATATACATAAAGCTAATCCAATTAAAAATTACAAAGTTAACCAAAGTTTTCACCAACCACCTAAAATATGTACCATGATGGGGCCTAATACAGTTCACTCTGCAATGCATTCCATGGGGCAGATGGCAGAACAGAAAAGGTTGTACCGGTATGTTGAGTTGACACCAGTCTTGCCTCCCATGATAGAGGGATAAAACAAATAAGTGAACATATAAATATAAATTGTTCACATATGATTGAAGGTATTAGCAATTAGATCATATTGTAGCTTCTCACTTCCAGCTTTAAAATAAAGGTAGTATCCCTTTATCGCTTAGAACCATTCCTGATTTCATTTCTTCAGAAAAAGAAATTGCCTGAAAGAAATGTGCTATTTGGTTGCAGTATAATACAAGCTTATCTAATCCTGAAAAGTTATATATACACCTTTGGGTATATAAGGTTTCTGATATTTCATTAAGTAAGCACACAAAATGCTAGTAGAATCTGAAGCCTTTAAATTCACAATTCCCACAGTTTTTTTATTTTAAAACTCAGTGCGGGGAGGTAAATTTTATGATGAAATTGAAAACTGATTCCTTTATGTACTTTGACTCTCACTCAAAGAAACTTTGAAGTCGTACTGGAAACAATTTTGGGAATCATCTAGTTGAGAGGAAAAAGGGAAAATATGTGCCATTCACTATAATATATCCTCGGATTGAGAGTAATAGTAAGTGGGATTGTATGCCCACTTTGGTTATCTTCAGAGGACGATGAAAACCTTCTCAGAATACATTTAACTATTAATGTCCACATGTTGTTCTGAACTACGTCAATAACCAAAAAAGGATTTTATTTCAAAGCCAACTTATTTCTCCTCAGAAATGCATAGCCATTTTAGAGAAACAAAAATAATGTCCAGTCTTCACATCAACAATTTGAGATTACTCTTCCAGTCATTGAATTAATCCCTTCAGTTGCAATGGAATCCTGATAAGAAATCTCCCTTATCTAACTTCCCCATTTGCATCTCTTACTGAGTTGATTGTGCGAACTTGCTAGACTGACACCATTAGCCGGGTAAGATTGTCTGTTCCGCTTCGTGGAACCAGTTGCAAAGTTTTGTGTTAGATCTACTTCACCATCCTAAGACAATTTCCTGTCCTAGTGCACTTCTCAGATCAAAAGAACAATGTGCAGCTGGATTTCAACAACTACAAACCAGGATTAAAAAAAATGAACACTTCCTCTCACACTGGGACTTTGACAGAACTTTGCCTCTCCATGCCCATAATCAACGTCCAACAACTCAACAGGAGTTACCCACGAACCCTTAATGCCTGACAAGTGATACAAAGGATACTTGGGGGGAATGTACACATCCATTGAGACTAACCGAAAAGATCTTGGACCTTTTTTAAGTGGCTTACATGAAGGGCACTTACCCAAATCCCCTGTAGCTGTTGAGTCAGCTGTACTCCATGTATCCTGTGCTGCTGCATGTAAGCGAGTGTTTAACATCACTGCCTAGCAGAACTTTTTCAGAAAATACTCCATCTCCTCTGATGGGGAAAGAGACACTCATTATGGAAATTCTTTTTAAAAGTATGTCTGGATATTAGATGGGAAAGACTGCCAATTCTCAAAATGCTTAACAAGCCTGTTCATCACCAGACTGAAATCGGAGTAGTTTCTTTATGATGGCTTTTTCAGTTCTGTGTCCTTTTTTTAAAAAAAACTATGCTTTTGATCTTCAACTTTCCAGGGTAGAAATATTTCAAGAGGTCTGTGGGGGGTGAGCAATCAATCTGGAGATATTATTCTGTCATCAGCTCATTGAGGGAAAATCTTGTCTGCTCAAAAGAGAGAGAGAGAAGGGAGAAAAGAAAGCCTGGAGATAGCATCAGCCAGTTATCAGTGTTCTGTTGTGCTTTGTGAGAAATTTCTAACCCTTTTTCAATTGTGATCATACTCAAAACCAGAGAGCGAGAAACAGGGGGCAACACATTTCTTGTTGAGATAAAATGTGATATGTGATGTTGCTGTGAATGCAGTTGTCATCAGAATACAATTCACCAGCAAGGTATCTATAT